AATAAACTGCTGTCCAAGTGTCACCTACTAGACACAGAAGCAAGATTTGAACCAGGAGCCTGGACTTTTACCCAGTTTGCTAACCTGAATTATGCAATAAAGATAATTTCCAGAATAAATTGGACCTCAGGGTCGTCGCTATCTTGTGTTGTAGGAGCAGAGTGTGATACCTTTTATCACCCCTCATAAGGGTCATAGCTGACACGCCTGTAACAAAATATAGGTTAACAAGAGAAAATCATAACAAATTTATTTAATCAAAATTTTACATGAAAAGGAGGCAGAGCAAGATGGTTGAAGGAAGCCTCCACTGATCGTCCTCCCTGCAGGAACACCAAATCTGAAAACTATCCACACACAAAAAAGCACCTTCATAAGAACCAAAAATCAGGTGAGCAACCACAGTACAGTACCCGGTTTTAACTTCGTAGAAGGTAGGAGGGAAAGAGAGACAGTCTTAAATTGCCAGCGCCACCCCACCCCTATCCCCTGGCCGTATGGTGCAGAAAGGGAATCTGTGCGCTTGGGAAAGTAACTTTGCATTGGAATGCTGTGCTGCCAACACCAGGCAGAGATCAGCTGGTGCCCACAGAGCACTTACTCCAGTCCTAGCCAGAAGGAGGTGCCCATCCCAGCAATTGGAACTTGAGTTTCGGAAAGCCTTGCCACCATGGGCTAAAGTGCTCGGGGGTCCTAAATAAATAAACTTGAAAGGCTGTCTAGGCCACAAGGACTGCAACTTCTAGGCCAGTCCTGATGCCGTGCTGGGCTCAGAGCCAGTGGAATTGGGGTACACACGGCCTAGCGATACATCAGCCAGGGTAGCTAAGGGAGTGCTTGTGCCACCAATCTCCCAACCCCAGACAGTATAGCTCCTAGCTGCAGGAGGGACTCCTTTCTTCCACTTGATGAGAGGAGAGGGAAAAGTAAAGAGGACTTTGTCTTGCAGCCTGGATACCACCTCAGACCCAGTAGGATAGAGCACTGGGCAATGTCTTGAGATCCCCGTTCTAGGCCCTAGACCCCAGATAACATTTTCAGACACAGACTGGGCCACAAGGAAACCCGCTGCCTTGAAGGGAAGGACCCAGTCCTGGCAGTATTCATCACCTGCTACTTTGAAGGCCCTGGGTGAGACTCTGAGACATGATGTGACCTGGCACATTCACACCTGTGGTGACTATGAGGAAAGGCCCCTTATGCTTGAGAAAAGCAGAGGAAAGAATGAAGAGGACTCTGTCTTGCACCAGGGTACCAGCTTGGCCACAGTGGGGTAGAGCACCAAGAAGGCTCTTAGGGTCCTCAGCTCCAGACGTTGGCTCTTGAACAGCATCTGTGGACCTGCCCTGGGCCAGAGGGGAGCCTGCTGCCCTAAGGGTGAGTCCCAGGCCTGACCGCATTCACCATAAGCTGACTGAAGAGGTGTTAAGTGAACATCAGCTATGAGCTGGCAGTACCCACTGTGGGCCTGTGGCGGTAGTGAACAAGGAGAGAGACCCCTCTGCCTGGAGAAAGGGGAGGGAAGAGTTGGAATGACTTTGTCTTGTGGCTTGGGTGCCAACTCAGCTGCAGCAGAACAGAACACCAGGTAGATTCCTAAGGTTTGTGACTCCAGGCCTTGGCTCGAAGCCAGCATCTCAGGACCCAGCAGGGGGAACTTTAAGGGAAGAATACAAGCCTAACTGGCTTCACCACCTGCTGATCTTAAGAGCCCTATGTCTTTGAGCAAACATAGGCAGTAACCAGGTAGGAGTTGCAGCAGGGCTTGGGTAACATCCAGTGTTGTGCTGGCTTCAAGTCTGACCCAGTGCAGTCTCAATGGTGGTGGTCACAAGGATGTTTGCATCACCTCTCCACCAGCTCTAGGCAGCTCAGCAGAGAGACAGAAAGAGAAACTCCGTTTGGGAGAAAGTAAGGGAAGAGAACAAGAGTCTTTGACTGATAATCCAGAGAATTCTTCTAGATCTTATCCAAGATCAGCCAAGGGAAGCACAGTGTCAGTTGGCTTGGGGTGTCCCCTAATGCAGATACAGCTGCAGTGACCAAAAACTTAGATCACTGTACCCAAGTCCCTTCAAATACTTGGAAAGCCTGCCCAAAAAAGAATGGGTACAAACAAGCCCAGCTTGTGAAGATGGCAATAAATAACCTTACTCTTCAATGGCCAAACACTGACTGATGTCCACAAGCATAAAGACCATCCAGTATCACATTACCTTACCAAATGGACTAAATAAGGCACCGGGGGCCCGTCCTGGAGAGGCAGAGATATGTGACCTTTCAGACAGAGAATTCAAAATAGCTGTGTTGAGGAAACTCAAAATTCAAGAGAACACAGAGAAGAAATTCAGAATCCTTATTTAATGAAGAAATAGAAATAATTTAAAAGAATCAAGCAGAAGTTCTGGAGCTGAAAATTGCAATTGTCATATTGAAGAATGCATCAAAATTTTATATGGCATGGGAGTCTTCAGAGATACCCAAAGACTCAAGGGAAAACTGTCCATTTTTATGCTTAGATTTGGTGAAGAGTGGGTAGCCAGGTAGAACTGTGATTGGACAGAAAGGGGATGATCTTACAGTAACAGACTGAAGGGGAAAACCCATCCAGCAAGGGCCCATCCCAATTCTTCTTGATCTCTCTGTGTGGCATTTCTTCCTGCCAGGTATAGGACTGGACCCCTTCTGGAATTGACAGTCTTACAATCTACTTTCAGATAAAGCAGGCCTAAGAATTTCTTTGTAGCCAGCTCTTACACGGAAAGGCAAGGGAATGTTAGAGTAATAGTTCTAGGTTTCATGGCTGGCTTTGGGGAAAAGGGGATCTAGTTTCTATGGCTTGCCTCGATGAAGGGGAATTTTAGTTTCTGTGGTTTGCCTTGCAGGGAGGATGGGGAGCAGAAGAAAGAAGGGCAGGAGAAGGGCAGGAGAAGGTCTGAGACAGACTTGACTTCTGAGGCCTTCCAGTGCCCTTTGGTTCAAAGTGCTCAGCATGCCAAGGCACCATATTTTGGGATATTGTTTTCTGAGCCCCAATACTGTGACAGGAGAAAAGTACCAACAAGTACCACTCGTCAACCTTGTCCTCTACCTGCCTGGAAGAAGTTGATTTGCTCAGCATAAGGCAAGGAGAGAGGCAGGATCCTAGAGATATGGAAGGGGGCTTCTGGATTCTGCAGGGGACTTTGGGAACTCTAGGTGGCAAGGCAGAAATATCTAATTGGGATGTTTTATTAGGTAATTTTGCGGGACTCTGAGGAAAAGCTCTCTTCTAACTCCCTTCAAAATTCTCAGTAAAATAACCTCTTTACTGATACTTGAAATGTGAATTTGGTTTGGGGGATTTAAGTCTGGTCTCAAGATGGCAACCAGGTTAGCTTACTGGGGCCAGCCACATGTGGGTAACAGTTCGGGTAAACAAAGTTCCATACATTCAGGAAGCATTTGCTAATTGCCTACTGTGGTCAAAGCGCTGTTATGGGTACAATCAATGCAAAGATGATTAAGACCTACCAAACAAATTTTCTGTAAATATCAGCTAGATAAAAGGAAAAGCATCTGATAGACCTTTGCTTTGGAAAGAAACTTGAGTCATCATGTTTGCTGATGCTATTATAGAATTGTCCACCACTGTACCCCAGTTGCTTAGCACACCTGGCATTTCTTATTAATTGATAGCAAAGTAACTCCCAGAGCTCAGGTCGAGGAGTCAGGTTATTTACATTTGGCTACAAAAGTATAAATAAAAATATAATAGTTCATGTGGAGACACTGCTTTATCAGGTTATTTACATTTGGCTACAAAAGTATAAATAAAAATGTAATAGTTCATGTGGAGACATTGCTTTTTCAAGTGATATCCATGAGCATAGTATGCTGTGTTTACCAAAATCAATTTCCTTTGCCCTGTGATTTGCTTCAGAAAATGTTGACTGGCCATCTATAGCACCAAATTTTCTTTTCCACTGGACTGAGTGACATTTCAATGTCTGATTCCTTAGCTCTAGGGAAGTAAAGCAGAACAAGTCTGTTTTCTTCCATTCTTTCAAACCTGTAGATGTTCATCAAGCAGCTTGACTTGAAAGAAACACTTTGGCTACCTGAGAGAGACTAGCTCCTCCTCCCTGCCTGTTAGAAAAGTCTGGGCTGGCACTGTCAGCTCATACTTTCCAAGACATAACTGTAGGCATCTAATATGTAGCAGGAGGAGGCAGAGAAAGGCTCAGAGGCAAATAAGTAATCCAAGCAGAAAGCATATTGAAGAGTAGAGGTTTCTTTTTCACAGACGAGAGTAGCAGTAGGGGCTGGAAGGAAGGAGGGTAAGTATTGTATGTATGGAGATGGGGGTTGGGAGACAGGATATTCTGTGGGGGGAAAAACTTAGTTGCCTAAACTTTACCTCAAAGTACAGAGTGAAGGAGTTCTTAGGAGGAAATATGTGTAAGTAAGCATTGTGTATGGCATTAGTTACTAGGTGGCAATATGGTTATGTTGTGTGGACCATTTTAGTAGAAATCTGCAATCTACATTCTGAGTAATGATTATTTTGCATTTGTAATATGGGCCTGCTAATGTATGCACTTGCTATGTCTGTGACTTTTATTTCCTTTAATTTGTTTTCCTTTTTAAAGGATGTTTTCTTTGCTATTGAGAAATCTTAGGAAGAAAGAAATTATGGTCTCCCCCTGCTGGATATGACTGGTAGAACCTGAAATTTTAGGTTACTTGGCATAGATTTTTTTCTTTTTTTTTTTCCAATTTTTGGATTGTATTAAAATACACATAACATGAAATTTACCATCTTAACCATTTATTAGGTTGATGCAAAGGTAATCACGGTTTTTGTCATTTTTTTAATGGCAAAGTGTACAGTTCAGTGATATGAAATACATAATAAATGTACAGTTCTGTGATATTAAATGCATTGATGATGTTGTGCATTATGTAGCTACATAAGGACTAATTGTCCTCAACTTTCCAATTCTAAATTCTTCCTACAGCCTCACTAAGCAGTCTTTTGATCACACCTTTCCCATCTCCAAGCTCCTCTACATCTTCTTCCAGCAGTTACCAGCGCCGCTGGCTTCGAAGTCAGACAACAAGTTTGGAAAATGGCATCTTTCCAAGGAGGTGAGTTGCAAGTTTCCTCTTGCCGAGAAAAGTACGAGTCTAGGCAGCTTGATGAAACTGGCAGGGCAATTGTTCGCGCCTATTGTCGGAGGAAAAAGAACCAAACTTTTTTATTAGCTTCAGCTTAGCCTGCAAGCTTACAAATTAGAAGTTCGAAGGAAAGAATAAATAAAAGCTAAAATTTAAAAATCTCCTCCTTTGGAAGACACTGGAAAGTATCTGGGTAGTTGTTTCATGAGCTAGACTGGGTGTTCATTTAAAATGGTGTGCTCTCTTTAAATAGGGTCCCTTTCAGATGTAGCTTTTATAAGTAATGAGGGAGATGAGTCTCTTTTTGGCCACAGTGATACCAATGTAGTATTCAAAAATATATGAAGTCAAGAGTCTGTGATATATTCTCTTTGTGAAATGTAAATTCTTAAACTAAACAGATATGAATATGATTATAAATAGAGATGGCATCTAGGTATTTTCTGCTTTCACTTCAGTTGGTTTTTGGATCTAAAGTTCAGTTGTGTGCAAAAACGTACGTTTGATGTTACATTCATAGCTTCCAACACTTTTTCTTCCTACAGTCCAAATACTTGAAGGGAAATTTTTTTGTGTACCTATAAAAATTCACGCCAATTAACTGATTTAGTAAATTGACTATTCCTCACCATATGCAGGGATCTGTGAAGATATAAGACATTTCAGCTTTGTGCCTGTACTTAAATAGTTTATGAGATGGTACACACATAAATAATGGTATAAAGATGTTACGTGATAAATATCATAGGCAGATATAAAGTGCTGTGAGACTCAGGATGGAGAAAACACAGTGATGGTCATGGGGGGAATTAGGGAGCCCTCCCTGGAAGAGATGGCACTGAAGGGACAAGCCGAGAAACTGAGGGGTCGGGGGTGTGAATAGCACACATCAGGTTGCTTGCCTCACTTCTGTCTCTTTCACAATCCTACAAGCTAGCTGGAAAGAAAAAAATTATAGCTTCATCACCCATCAAGAAACTGCTTTTTGGTTGGTGGACTTTGGATTAAATGATTAAAAGCTTGGAATTTTGTGTGAACACAAGTCCTAGCTCTGTCACTCACAGATGTATGATAGAATAAGTTAACCTGGGTTCTAGGCGTTGCATCCTCGTCTGCAATATGGTAATACTAGCACAGCCTCAGAATGTTGCTGGGAGGGTTAAATGAGATAAAGCAAGTCCAGTGTTTAGCCAAGACATAGTATATGGGCAATAAAATATGGCCAGTGTGAATTATTTACTATTATTATTACTATATTATCATTATCATTACTGCAACTGTCAGGAGAAGGTGCTACCACCGTCCTCACTGGCATCATACCAGCTTCTGTGATTGGAAGAGAGAAGTCTTGGAAACCATCCTTTTTCAGCATCTTCTCTTTTCTGAAAATGCTTTTTTATCCCTTCAGGTTTAAATTCAAACTTGAAATCATGTGTCTCAACTCCTTCGAAATTCTTCAAAACTAATTTGAATTGAGATCTGGCATTGGGAACTAGTGAATCTCTAGTGAACTTACACCTAAAATAAGTATCCTACATTCAGAAAAGTTGCGAATACAGTCAGGGCTGGCTACCTAATTTATGGAACCAGTGCAAAATAAAAAGGTGGTGCTTCTTACTCAAAAAACAAGAAAAGTGTTATTAAAGGGACTAAAAAGGAAAAAAGTTTTTCTTTAAGAATATATATCAGATGTAATAGAGATGATAGTGATAGATGAATAATAATATAAACCTAAAATTTCAAACATAATATTTTTGGGGTCACAATTTTATATTATAATATGTGATATCTTGTGTCATAAGACTTTTCTGCAAATACATTTGCTTGGTCATCAAAGTTTATAGTTTTAGCAACTTGGCTTTCAATTGATATAATTGAAAGTGATAGTCCTGGCAAATGCAAGGCGGCAAATAATTTTTGATAATTTTTTACTTGGAGAAGGATCTTTCTGCTGATGCAGTGTTACATAGCTTTATGGACGATGACAACATTTGGATAAATTTTTTATTAACTTTCAAGATGTAAATTTTAGTACATCTGGATCAGATGATTCTTGTTAAACAGTTTTTTGAAAGCTTTAATTCTTCATACAAATCCATTTTGAGTAAGTCTGAATTTAACTTTAGATGTAAATTTATACAAGGTTATTTTAATATTTCTTCTGACATTTCCTGTAACTTGTGGAGATCTTACAAGAAACTAAAAATGTTCTCATGAGTTATATATAATTCAAAATGCCTATTTATGCATTCTATCACTGTGTCCTCAATTACAAGGAAAAATTAATTTTAAAATGGCCTTCCTCTTTAATAATTTGTTCATCTGAAGCTTCATATGAAAACAGTGTGGGTTTTTTTGTCCAGTATAACAATCTTTACATTCAATTTCTATTTCTGTGCCTATGAATATTTACTTTGCATTGTTACGGCAGTTTTCAAAAAGTCTAAACTTTTTACAGAATTATAATAATTCCCTGATATTGTTTATTGCAATGTCCCCATTTAGGCTTTTACTTTGTGGTAATTTACTGTCCCAGGGCTCAGGTCAGAGAGTTAAATATCTGTGCAGACTGTATAGGGACTGGCTGCAGTGACTCATGGGCAAGCTGGCCTCCCAGCGTGGTTCCTGGAGCTACCATAATCCTTCCTCTCCCTTCTCCCCTATCTCCCACAGCTATGGCTACTGCAGCTTCTGCTGTCACCACAGTCACAGCCGTCAGTGTGGGTCCAAGACCCAGCCATTCCACTTTAGAGTCTTGTAACACCGTGGCCTGCCTCAGACTTGTGGGTATGTGCCTAGTGCTGGGCCAGTTTCTCCCTGTCTGGGCTGCAAGCCCTTGGTTCTCAGATCACCCATATACAAACTGCTGCCCAATGTCTTCACTACTCATGTGCATGTATAGGGGTGGAAAGGGTAAGATAATGCCCCCTCCATATCATAAGGGTCATGGCTGACACTCCTATAACAAATACAGGTTAACAAGAAACATAACAATTTTATTTAGTCAAAGTTTCACATGACATGGAGCCTTCAGAAATGAAGATTGAGGAACCCAAAGAAAACTATATTTTTATGCTTACATTCAACAAAGAACAGATTGCCATGTAGAAATGTGATTGGACAAGGAGTATGATCTAATGATAATAAACTTAAGCAGGAAAACCCAGCGGGGCCTGTCTTGACAGAATCATTTTTGACCTCTCTGTATAGCATTCCTTCCTCCCAGGTAGAGGGTAAGACCCCTCCGGAATGGGAGGGTCTTATGATCTATTTTCAGAGAAGGTAGTTCAGAGAAATTATTTGTGGCCAGCACTTACAAAGGTGGGAGGAAGTTAGAATAGTATTTCTATAGTAGGTTTTACAGTTGGCTTTGGGGAAAAAAGAGGCTCAGGTTTTTGTGACTTACCTTGGGGAACAGGAATCTTAGTTTCTATGCCTTTGAGGAGGAAGGGGAGCACAAGGAAGGGCAGGAGAAAGTCAGAAAATCAAGGTCTTGCTTCTGAGCCCCTGTCCTTCAGTTCAAAATACTCAGCATACCAAAGTGCCATACTTTGGGGTATCCTTTTCTGAGCTTCATTGCCTCATTAGACTTCATTTATAGCACAAAAGTTCAAAGATAAAATTATTTAAAATTCAAGATGGTAATCACAGAACATGAAATTAAGTCTGGGGCGCTAGTGAGGGCAGGACCCTGTGTGAGCGGGGTCACATGACCACGCAGCCAGCCCTAATAGAGTACTGCTGAACACCAAGAACGCACAGGTAGCAGACATTTTAAACTGATGACTGTGCCTGTGAAGTCCCTTCATTTAAAGGATGTTGTAGTTGATCTCTCCCTTTTGGCAGGTATGCAGGTGGGAAAATTAGTTTTTTATGCTATAGGCAGGAGAACAGGGGGTACCAAACATTATGATTGCCTCTCTTTGACAGACAATTCATGGCAATTAAAAATGTTCTTCCTAAGAGAGTTAAAGGTAGCAAGGATGATAGTCACAGTTTTCTTTTTTTGTTAGAATTGGGCAACACTTTATTCCGTAAACTAGAGTGAATGTTTTCAATATTCACAAATCTTAACAGCTGGCTTCACACTGACTTCAGGGCCCCCTGGTGTGCCAGGTGGTAAGCTTTGATTACTAGATGGGGAATGGGGCTCAGGCATTTAACAGCTAACCTCAGGGATTCCATCACTTACTGAGGAAATTGAAACCTTGAAGAGCAAAGTATAACGTCCCAGGAAGCCTTTTGATTTGAATTATTAAACTGGACCAACCTTATAAAGTTGCTGATGGGTTGTTCTTTGACCTACAATTTCATATGGCCCAATGTAATACATAGATTCAGCATAAGTTCAAAGCTGAAACAAATAATAATTAGACCAAGGAATCCTGATATCAATGATAGATTATTGAGACGTACTTAAATAGTCATTTGTGCTTTAATTATTTCTGATCTTGAAGCACTTACAAGGTACATAAATGCTTATTCATAAGTGTTAACAAACTTCTATTTGATTTCTTTATAAGGAAAAAAATTGTCTGTAGCTGCAGTCTTTCCTTGACTCTCAGGACTGTTAGCTGATCAGACTGCTTCCAGCCCCTTCCCTCAGTGCTCTGTCCGGTGTGATGCATTGGCTAGCATGAGCACCAGCAGACAGATTAGGCATAGGGTCAGAGTCCTTGGTCGTTGCCAGTATCCAAGTAATGAGCCTAAACTAGAAGATAGGAATCCTGGGTTCTAACTCCAACATTGTCACTAAGAACCTTTCTGTTCCCAAAAAAAGTTGAGTCAGCACTCTGCCTCAGTTTCCACATTTGCAGAACAGCCTGTGTACCTTCTCTGGTGACATGGAGATAAAGATATGATGAAGTACTGGGGCACATACTTAAATTTTTGGAAATATTCTTAAACATCCTTTTTTTGTAGAATAATTTTTAAATTATAAGTAAGATATTACATGACCTGATTTATTCCAGGTTGCATGGTTGATCCAAGACTGCAGAATGAAACTCAGTTGATTTAGAATTCAGTGGAGGGTTATAGTGAAGCAAGTAAATTATCCACTCTATTATAGCTATGGAAGTTTTTCAGAAATTCAGCAGGTGGCACTCTCTGCTACATTAACACTGACGAGAGCATTGGCTATTGTTTATAGGGTGGAGATGATGATTGTGAGAAACTGTATCAGGTTCAGTGTTTATTACAATTTGATTATTAAAGATCAAGCTGGCCTAAAGATGAGTGGACTGATAGAGTCATTTTCCTTTGGGAAAAGAAGGGAAATATAAGATGACAGAAAAGAGGAAAGGTTTGCAAGCAAGCCTTACTGTAATATAAACTCAGGAGAACTCCCAAACAGAACAGAAATCAATTACTGTAGTACAAGGAAACAAGGCTTTAGTATCAGTACTTTGGTTAAAAAAAAAAAAAAGAGAGAGAGAGAGAAGACCATATGAAACTGTGTGAAGTTATTAGGAAGCCTCAGGAATCTTCTCTGATGATTAGAATCTAGGGATTTCCCAGAGAAAGCAGGTGATGGTTTATTATAATGTGTAGCAGTTATAACAGCACCTTGTGCCTTCAGCGACACATCTGGAGTGAAAACCTTTTACTGATTTACCAACCATACCTATATCTCCAGGCTCTCGCTTGAAGTGAAGGGAACTAGTCACATATAACCGAGGTTAGAATAAGATGTCGATCTCCTTTCCTTTAAAAATAAAACAGCCAGGCACAGTGGCTCGTGTCTGTGATCCCAGCACTTTGGGACGCTGAAGCGGAAGAATCACTTGAGCTCAGGAGTTCAAGGCCAGCTTGGGCAACACAGGGAGACTCCATCTCTACCAAAAAAAAAAGTAACCAGGCATGGTGGTGTGTGCCTGTGTCCCCCCAAAATTAATTATATTAATTAAATAGCTTTCCTGAGCATAACACTTTTGGTGTATGTTTGTTTAATAATAAAATCTGGATTTATTTGAAATCACATGAGCATTAAAGACTATGAGTAAAGACCTAACTAAGTAAGTTGAAGACCAGGGGCAGAAGGCTAATTCTCATATTCTGCCCAGGATGAGTAATTGTTATGTTGTAATTTGTAATAAAGAAAATAGAGGAAGCAGTACCTTCCCATATTGGCAGAGATGCAGTACCTTCCCGTATTGGCAGAGATATGAGACTAGATGATGGAGTTCGTGAGAAAGAGAAAATGGATTGCATACCTACTATGTGCTAACCTAGGGCTTTCATTTGCACTGTTATATCCTTTGTGTTGGTGTTTTTGTAGGGGAAAAAAAAGCTTTTTTATTTGTATCCTTGCTGTTAGTAGTTATGTGGTAGCTACACTGGCTTTTCACGATAGTTAAGTAAGCGACATGGTTAGGCCATTTTTGTAAGGCTTACCCCTTAAGACAAATTAAATATATGTTTAGAAGTTTTGGGCTTCATGGCTGTCATCATAGAAGCCAACTCTCCCAAAAGAATCAGATTTTTTTTTTTTAATTCTGCTGTAGCAGAAGAGAGGTAAGTCTTTCTACTTGAAGGATTTTCAGAGAGCTTAATCACATGGCTTAATCTGAGCACTTAGAAGAGTCACTTCCATCTAGTGGTTTTAATAGCCCTGGGGGAAAAGAAAAAAAAAAAAAAAACAATAGCCCTGGGAAAGTAATCCTGGAAGTGCCAGCAAATGTTGAAATGTGATACTCTTGTTCAACAGAATACCACGAAGGATCATTCCTCTTTGGTCATCTTATCCATTGGTATCTGTCAGCCAAAGCAGAGGGGCTATGTTTTGGATAAACAGATACTTCACACTCCTTCCTAAATACCATCAGTTTGACATAAAATGATCCAAAGGAAAAGGACAAGAGTTACAAAGGGAAATTTAAATTACTTGTAGTTTTCATTCGAGTTTCTCTCCATGTTAGGATAAAACTGTGTGGCAAGCAAGCTGACGTTCTCATCTTCATGCTGGGGAATTACAGAAGAGAATTAAGTAAAGGCAGATATACTCTTAGTTACAACTGAATGTTCTGGGTGTCATCCCAGGCATTACAGTTGATCTTCAGTGTGACTCATTGATGCATGGCAACTTTGCAAACTTCTGTTTCCTTCCAGGTCGACTGATGAGACATTCAGCTTGGCTGAAGAAACCTGTAGTTCTAATCCAGCTATGGTTAGGAGGAAGAAAATTGCTATAAGTATCATCTTTTCCCTATGTGAGAAAGAAGAAGCACAAGGGAATTTCCAGGACTTCTTTTTTTCCCATTTTCCCCTGTTTGAATCTCACATGAACAGGCTGAAGAGTGCAATTGAAAAGGTAATAAGGATGTAATCCAAAGTCAAATAGAGAAGTGATTGTGGGGCTTTGAAGATGGCAGAATTTCTTTGCTTATGTATCAGATCTTTCCTAAGAGAGTTAAGTTACCCATAGCAGTGATAAATTCTTAAGCATGTTAATGCTAGTTACCAGATACTGGGTTGCCTTAGGGAAGGAAATGACTGCTTTGCATTATTATCTTGAGTGTTTTTAATTGATTGCATAATATTGTTTTATTAATAAAGCCCAGTAGATAAGTTATAAAATTTCTTCTCAGTAATTTGGCTTGCTTTCTCTTCAATAAAGGCTATGATCTCCTGTAGGAAAATAGCAGAATCAAGCCTCCGAGTCCAGTTTTACGTCAGCCGATTGATGGAAGCTCTGGGAGAATTCAGGTAAAGTGACAAAGTTTGGCAAATCCAGCAGGAGGTATCTGTGAGCAGCCATGGGTAAAGAGAAACTGTGACTTGGCAGAATTGGGGGCCTGGCAGTTATTCCTCACTTTTGTGGTTCCGCCCTTCAAGATGGAAACAGAACAAATGAAGCAAAAAATTTAAGTAATTTACCACTGAGTAATCCTTGCTACTGCTCAACTGACAGTCCTTGATAGGATTGTTTTTAACAGGATGAAGGGGGAAAACTAATATTCAGGTATCTCTCACCAGTCTATTCATTGTCTTTGGCAGCCTCACAAAAAGCCTAAACACTACTAACCCCATTTTACAGATGTGGAAACTTGAGTTCAGGGATGCTTATTCAAAGCACAGATGGAGAGGTTATGCAAGTCAGGGAGACATACGTTCCAGTTTGCCAGGTCAGTCCTAGTTTATACCCAGGGTCCTCTGGAAATTGGTATCTAGAGACCTCGCTCCTAGTATCTGCATGGAAGGGTAAACTGTGGTGGGATCCTCTCTCATCATGCTGAGTTGGGATTGTTGCACCATTTCATAGACCAGTTTCTTGATGGGGAATGGAATCCCACTCCAAAGCAGTCATGAGCTAATGAGTCAAACTGTTACTCCATAGCTGAAGGATAAAAAAAATGTTATAATCCTTTGAATGTTAGAACACTTTTATGATGCTTAAAGTATATACTAATGAATCTATAATGCTACCTGAAGCAAAATCACAAGTCTTTTTGAAATATGGGTTATGTATAAAGTACTCAAGTAACATGTTACTTGTTATCTGGTGATCACTAAGACTTAAGTCATATATGTGAGAAATGACATAAAGTTGTGCTGTCTGATGGCAATCTGATGATTAGTAAACCTTCCATGGTTTTTTGGGGAAGCACTGGAGATTTGCCCATTGCTCTGCTGTGGTCAGACTGGACATTGGCTTGTGCTTCAGACTCTGGGCCCTACTTTAATGAAGTGTCCATTTTTCAAACGTCAAGAAAATGAAAGTGCAGCTTTGTAGTTCTGTACTTTGTTTCTATAGAACATAGTAGCAACCCAACTTAGCCATTGTCCCGCAGAAGCAGCCATAGACAATAAGTAAATGAATGAACATGACTGTGACCCAAACTTTTTATTTGCAAAAGAAGGTGGCAGTCAGATTTGGCCCGTGGGCCATAGTTTGCCAACCCCTGTTATGTGTGGTGCTGGAATCCCTTAAGGACTACATAGATTCAAGTTGTTTTCTCCTTTATTCTCTTACAGCAAGATTATCCAAAATAGTGTTTCTGACACTTTTGTGTTTCCGACACTTTTGTGTTTCCCTGTCTTTCTCTTCTGTAGAGGAACTATCTGGAACTTATATTCTGTTCCAAGGATAGCTGAACCGGTATGGCTTACCATGATGTCCAGCACTTTGGAAAAAAACCAGCTCTGCCAGCGCTTCCTCAAGGAGTTTACCCTTCTGATAGAACAGATCAATAAAAACCAGTAAGCTTCAACTCTCTGGAGACTTGTATGCAACTCCCATAGCCAATGTAGGTACTGCATAGGACATGCGTCTTTTTGCATTGACTAAGCAGTTGTTTCTTTTTCCATTTCTCCAAGGTTTTTTGCTGCCTTACTGACTGCGGTGTTAACCTACCACCTGGCCTGGGTCCCAACGGTCATGCCTGTGGATCACCCTCCCATTAAAGCCTTCTCAGAGAAACGTACCTCCCAGTCAGTGAACATGCTGGCCAAAACACATCCATATAATCCTCTCTGGGCACAGCTGGGTTAGTACCTAATTCGACTATTCAGATAATATTATATATGGGATGGAGTTGCAAAAAATGCTAGTATTTGTGGTTTCTACTGGCTCTCTCACCCAGTAGTTCATAGGTTGTCATTGGGCAGACGGGGAATAGGAAGTTGGTCCATGAATTTGAACTGTAGGGCCACTCCCTTCCTCTCCTTTCCCTACTGGCAGCTTTGTGCTACATTATTAAAGCAGTGTAAGCCAACTATGTTCTCCCATTCTGCAGTGGCTGTTTACCCTAGAGCAGGATTTCTTAACCTCAGCTCTGTTGACCAGATAATTCTTTGTTTGTTGAGTTGTTGTGGGGCATGGGAAGAACTGTCTTGCGCATTAGCAGATGTTGAGTGGCATCCTTGGCCTCCATTTACTAGGTGCCAGTAGAACTGCCCCTCCTTCCTCCCACCTAAAGTTGTAACAATCAAAAATATCCACAGAAAAGCACCTCATCCTGGAAAGCAGCATGTTTTAATACTAATGAAAGCTGACACTAGGAGCCAAGCACTGTTTTTACGCATATTCATTAGATTCTCATCCCTATCTTTATTACTCTCAGCCTCATTTTGTAACAATACAGATGTTGTCTTGTCATTGTGCTCTTAAGAGAATACAAGTCCCCTCATGGTTAGGGGTAAAAGATGTGTTCTAACTCAGTTAACTAAAGAATTTGTGGATATTTAAATGGACTTAAGGGAGAGGAGATATGGAAAGAGGCTAGTTAAAAAATACAAAATTACAACTGGATAGGAGGAATAAGTTCTAGTGTTCTTTAGCACTGTAGGATTATGATGGTTAAGAATAGCTTATTTTCAGAGAAAGCTAGAAGAGAGATTCCCAGTGTTCCCAACACAAAGAAATGATCAAAGTTTGGGGTGGGGACCAGGCGCGGTGGTTCACACCTGTGGTCCCAACACTTTGGGAGGCCGAGGCAGGTGGATCACGAGGTCAGGAGATTGAGATCATCCTGGCTAACACAGCAAAACCCCGTCTCTACTAAAAATACAAAAAAATTGGCCAGGCGTGGTGGTGAGCACCTGTGGTTCCAGATGCTCGGGAGGCTGAGGCAGGAGAATTGCTTGAGCCTCAGAGGCAGAGGTTGCAGTGAGCCGAGATTGCGCCACTGCCCTCCTGGCTGGGTGACAGCGAGACTCTGTCTCAAAAAAAAATAGTTTGGGGTGCTGGATATGCTAATTATCCTGATTTGATCGTTACTCAGAACATGCCTGGCTCAATCTTGGTCATACAGGGAGTTTTTCCTGGGAAAGACAGAACACGGTTGTTTTTGTTTTATAGAACAATAATAGTCTTTAAAAAAAAAATGCAGGCTCATTAAGTGGAAAAGAAAAGGGGGCTGGATAGTAAGGAAACATTGTATTCCATGTTGCTGGATCACCCATTTCAAAACAATGCTAATTAAGTAGCGTGCATTTAGTTAGATAAATGTGTTTATAATTAGGCCTGCTTCTCATTTGAAATGTAACTAATTGAGAGCCATTAATTCCCTGTGTTAGGCATAACAAGAGAGGGTCTTCTCCTGTGGGTTCACAATCCTCATCTTTCAGAGGAGATCATGTATTGTTGAAAGACTTTAGTCCTCCCTTCTCCCAAATAAATCCATCAGGGGTTTGGCTATTGACAGAAGGAGTGTGAGGAGGGGACAAGGCCCTGGGCAGCAAAGGCCTGTGATAGCTTTATAAAGCCAAGCGTAAGTGATGGCCGAGTTTCCATTATTACAAAGAAGTTTTGGTGGGGAGGGAGGTTCAATAATTTGACAAGCAGAAGCAGTTGCTCCACATTTTATTGTTTTCATTCAGTATTTAGCAAGTCACAGTAAACATGAAAATTGAAACCGCTGGGAATACACAATGATACAGATATAATTTTAATCCAGGCTCCTAAGTAAAAGAGAAGACTATCTGGAATCATTTGCAAAGACTCCTCTGAGAGCTTTTCCAGGACAGGTGCCACTGTGTCTTTTGACTCTCTTTTAAATTTTTATTTTTAATTCAGGTAAAAAGCATATAACAATGTTTATTATCTTAACCGTTTCAAAGTGTACAGTTCAGTCGGATTAAGTACATTCATATTGTTGTGCAATTTCTTCATTTTAAAAAATTATACTCATGAAAACAAATCTACTCTAAAAATTAGCTTCAATTATCCAGGACTCAAAAAGAAATTGCCTTCAACTTCAAGATCCAGTAAATATTTAATATTATGGGTATATTGTTTTAATAATGCTTTATTTTATGAAGTTTGGCTATAACGTAATAGCACTGGTTCCACACACATTGCTCTCATTATTTTATATAGTTTAAATTATTATAAGTTGTATTTTTAATAACCTTCCTTGTTTTACCATTTCTATTTATTCCTTGGTTACTAAAATGTACAATACTCAAATGCGTTGCTAAAAAATAATAATATCGGCCGGGCGCGGTGGCTCAAGCCTGTAATCCCAGCACTTTGGGAGGCCGAGGCGGGTGGATCACGAGGTCAAGAGATC